CAAACGCTAGTTCAAAAAGTGAGTATTTGCCTGAGTCATATTAAGGAGATCACTCATTCCTCAAACCATCGATGTAGCACTCTTCACCCCCTCCGCCCCTCTTCCCACACCCAGACATCTGGTGCGTTGACAATTTTAACACGGATATCAATATTGAAAAACAAAAATTAGAATGTGTCTAATTCAACCTCAAAAGTTAGTTGATTAAGAGGTAAAATTTACCCAAATCATATTTAAGTGACCACTCATTCGTTAAACCACCAACGAGGGACTCTTCACATTTTAAGATAATCTTTTCAAATAATAAAACAATTCTAACAAAGTTTTCAATGGAATATAAATTTTTCCAAAAGTTGTTTAAAAGTTGGTTATACTTTACGTCAACTTTCTGTCATCAAGTTTTAACGTTTTCATTACGTTCATCTTACTTTTCATCATCAACATCTCCACTAGCTTTAGCTTTTCCATAATAGTATATTTTTGAATTGTCCATAATTGTAATTTATAATATATATTTTACGTGGTTTACATATATAAATTTTATTTTTAAAAAATTGAAGATTTCATGAACAAATTATCGATCAAATTTAAATTGTTTGACTCTTGAAAAATGAAATATGTCACATAAATTACGACAGAGGGAATATATGATAGAGGCGAAACTAGTATTTGAATTTTAAATTTTAAAATAGTGATATCAAGTATTAGTATAAGGATTTTAAATTTATGTATTTAGTACACTTTTTAATATAAGTATAAAATTCGAACTAAAATTATTGATTCGACCAAACTTGTACTTTAACTTCTAGCTTCCGCACTCCTAAAAGATGAATATTACATGTAACTGATGATCAAGATCGTAGAATAATAAATAACTTATTATTCAATATCAAAAGTTGATCGATCATGATATATACATGTGAAAAAAATCATAGCATCTAATTTAAATCTTCAAATAATTGAATCATATTCTTTCTTATAATTAGACGGATGTTGGACTGAGAAAATATGAGCTCACAAACTTACAACTCTATTGATAAACTAAAGCTAAGAGAAAAGAAAGGGAAATTGTATTGATCATTATTTCGTGTGTTACATTCAAATGAGCTTTGTACTCAGTCTTATAGTCCTAGGTTGTTTCTAGACACGTACGTTGCACATGTGACCGATGTGATTTTTAAAAAAATCTGTTAAAATGATTAAAATTCTTTGAAAACATGTGTAATATGAAAAACGAGAGTTATGAATATTAAGAGTAACAACTAAATAAGTAATTAGATATGAGTTATGAAGGTGAGAATCTTGTTGGGAGCGTCACCCCTGAATGGGCTCTGCAGTGTGCGTTTCGAATTTAGTCGGAGCTCCAATGCGGGCTCCATACACGTTAAAGTGACTTTTGATTTTTTTTTATGCATATCATATTAATTTTAAAATGATAAAATTAAATATTTTATAATATTTTAACTTAGAGCCTGTTTGGATTGACTTAGAATAAGTAATTTTTAAGTCAAAAATATAAAAAAATCAAACTTAAATGACTTTTAAGTAAAAAAATAAAAAGTAGGACTTACTTTTGATTTTTAAGTTATTTTTATATTTGTCAAACACTCTCAGAAAGTAGATTTGATCAACTTTCAAGCCAATCCAAACACCCTCTTAGTGTAGGGTTAAATTGTAATCCAACTTTGAAGTTAAGAATTTTCCATTTTTGATATATGATATGATTTACAAAATATCTTCTGAATTTTAACAAACTATGAAAGCTCATCACCAATTAAGCATTGACCAAGTCACCTAACTAACGGAATGAACAACAACTAAATAATGAACCAGGTTCATTGTGTGATACAACGCACTAATGGACCTGGTTCATTACGTAATGTACTTGAACATGGAAACTATAATTATATCAAGATTTAGTTTCCTAGCGGCGAATTTCAAACTTGTGAACATCACATCATTTATCACCTATTTAACTCTTTAATGCTTTCACATCTCTTGACATAGAATTAAATTTCAAGAAATGAAATTCTTGAAAATTCAGAACTATAATACTCTCATGAAATCTATCGTGTTACTACTATTATGTGTTGTTCATGTGAACGCTCAGGTTACACTTCCGTCTAAACAAGACGGATTTTGGTACAAGAACAGAATCGCTAACACCAAATCCATTGTAATCGAGGCTTTCTTCGATCCTCTTTGCCCTGATAGTCGTGATTCATGGCCCCCTCTCAAGCTAGCTCTCCAACACTATGGATCTCGTCTCTCTCTCGTTGTTCATCCGTTCCCTTTACCGTACGTATGCTCATTTCTCAATTTTACTTGAAAAAACTTAGTCTGTAGCTTAGTAATTGTTCAAATTTGCAGGTATCATGACAATGCATTTATTTCATCGCGAGCGATGCATATTAGCAATCAGTTGAATACTTCTGCTACATATAGATTACTGGAATCTTTCTTTGATCACCAGGTATAAATCTATTGTACGTTGTATTACCCTGCATTTTTGCAAGAGACTGTTTTCACACCTTGAACACGTGACCCTCCACAGGTCACATGACAACAATTTTACCTGTTATGCTAAGGCTCCCCTTCACTTAAATGCTCAGGTTCTTTTAGGGAAAGATCTTACTTACAAACTCTTCTTTGAAGTCTGATATGCTATACTATCTAGCAGACGTGAAATCAGTCACTAATGCTTGGTTCAGGATAGACTGTCTACGTTACATCCCCTTGGGGTGCAGCCCTTCTCTATATCTTGTGTGAACGTGAGATGCTTCATTCATTGAGCTGCCCTTTTTAAATCTTTATAAGAATCTAATAGAACTGTGAAACAACATGATTTAGTTGAATCCACATTTTACAGAGTTGTAAACTTATCAGATTGTACGCGAAATTCGTTCATCTGTTACAAATTATACAGAGTTTTGATTTTAATTGTGCCTGGTTGAACAGGGCAGGTTTTATGGCAATGCAACTTTCAACTTGTCCAGATCATCTGTTGTAGATAAAATTGCAAGATTTACATCAAATTCAATTGGGAATTCGCATTACGCTGCTGTAAAAGTTGGATTTACTGACCCGAAAACTGATCATGCAACAAGAATTTCCTTCAAGGTATGCTAATTAAGCTCAATTTACCTTACACATTGTATGTATATCTTTCACCTATACCGATTACTTACATTCGTGTATACATATTTTGACAGTATGGTTGTGTGAAAGGCGTATATGGGACGCCTTTTTTCTTCGTAAATGGATTTCCTCTGTCTGATTCTGGCTCAGCATTGGACTACAATGCATGGAGAAAAATCATTCATCCATTGTTGAAGAACTAACAATTTTGCATTTCTTGCAAGACTGCGTACAATAAACTCTTGTGGTTCGATTCGACCTGCATATAGCGGGAGCTTAGTATACCGAGAAGCCTTACAGTAGTTGTATTTATACTCTCATTCACCTGATGATTGAGCTAGAGAGTTAATCTTTTATATCTTGTGTTTACAAATATAATGAAAGTGATTTATTGCTTCTATATTTATATCTTATGGTATTTATATCTAAATGTTATTTCTCTGTACACCTGATTAAGTATTAATGTTATTGAACACAAAATGTTATGATGATAGGCATAAAGGCATAATTAGTTTCATAAAGTTCACTAAATTGATCATAGTAAACTCTTTCTCGTTATACAGAATTAGAGGTCTACCCATTCACTCTCCGCGATGACAAACTCCTAATTCACATCTAGATATACTCGTAAAATAGCAAAATAAAGATCTCAAGGTTCTGGAAATATACCATTCCGAATTACTCTTCCTTCAACATGAAAATGGCTCAAGACACTTGTTGAATTTAAAAACTTCTAAAATTTTAAAAAAATTGATGGATTCTTTTAGTTTTCTTGGGTTGATAGAGTATATATGAATAATCTGGCTGTCTATTCAATATATAAGGTAGAGACCTTATTACCGATAATATAAGAAAGATTTAAATTATATACGTTGAGTTACTTACAATAATTTAAAATAAAGTTAATGGACTAAGTTTAAATCAAATCTATTGAATTCGATCAAATTCGTAGATGACTCTTTCCCCTTTTCCGGTGTACAACATAATATGGGACTAAACCAAGAATTAGAATGCACATGTCTCTACAATTATGATAAGAAAACATATTCAAACTTTATTGAAACCCAATAAATAGCTTGTGAGGTAAGAATTGCTCCTAACTACATATATATAAAATTGTTGTAAATTGGATGTCTACGGTAATATGTTAAGTGTTGTAAGGTTAATACGCACACAATATGCTAAGTGCTGTATATTAATTAGTCATATGAGATACTTGGTGCCCAAAATGTATACATGACAAGAAGATATTCATGTATCAGACTTGGTGCCCAAGTATATACAACTATATATACCCCTCTTCTTATAACAAAGATAAATGCAAAGAGTAAGTGAAAAGAAAATACTACACATCCTATTTCTCATCCATTTTTCTTGTTATCTTAGCATTAGTACTTACCTAACAAAAATCAAATATTCACATCTACTTATTTAATTTAAAATTAATTACACTAAACACTTTTATAGTATGACTTAATTTTAGATATACATCCTATAATTTACTATCAAACACTTAATATAAACATTTTTAAAAATAAGTATTTATAAGTATTATTTAATTTATCAAAAGCACTATAAAATTATTTAAAAGCTATTTGACTTTAAAACAGTTAACATATGATGCAAATATTTGATTTTTAAAATACAAAAAATCTATCTAAGTTATAGTATATGAATTTTTAATGTAATTAACCATTTAATTTATGGGTCTACCCTTCATTTATTATGAAACATTTACTTCCCAATTATCTTTTGCATCAACATCATCATCACCTTAAATTTTTTTGTTTTTTTTCCCCACATATTTCTACAATAAAAAATAGCCCAAAAATCTGAAACCAGATAGAATTACTATCTATCTACTGCAACAAAAATGGTGAAATCAGTTGTATTTCTGAATTTGATTTTGATATTTATCATTTCTGTGAATTGTCAAAATCCAGATGGATTCTTGTACGGCGGCGACGGCAAAATCGATATAACAAAATCAATAGTAATCGAAGCTTTCTTAGATCCAGTTTGCCCAGACAGTAGAGATTCATGGCCGCCTCTCAAAAAAGCTCTCCATCACTACGGTTCTCGTGTTTCTCTTGTAGTTCATACTTTCCCTTTGCCGTAAGTATTCGATTTTGTGATTTTCATAACTAAATTACTGTGTTTTTTTCTGTTATCGTATGGATTATAATGCCGTTTAGAGTAGAAATCCCCAATTGAATATGTTTGGGGATGAATCTATTGGGAGGAGCTTTTAGAGCCGGATTTATTAGTATTAAAAAAAACTAGCAAAAGTGAAAATGGTCAAAAACATATTGAAGTATCATGTTATTGCAGTTTCTTACTTGAACTATCAGGTGTTCACTTTTTTCTACATGAATTATGGGTTATGGCTAACTATTAATCAAAACACATTTCAACTATTAGTTGTTCGCTTTTTCTATCTGAATGATAGTTGAGGTGATATGTCAGGTAGGGAAAGGGGCAATTGATAGTTGAGGTGTGTAGTTGGTGATAGTTTAGGTGGGAGAAGAGAACGTCTGATAGTTCAGGTAGGAAACTAGTAAAGACATGATACGTGAGGTGTGTTTTTGATTGTTAACTCCGTGCAAAATGATGATAGATTAGAGTTTTTTAAACCTATTCGGATACTCGTTGGTAAATGTAGACAAATTAATAGCTAAACTTGGTGCAATGTTGTGCTGCTGCTTTATTTCGTGAGTTACTAATTAATCTGTTAAATGGGGTAGCATCTCATTATTGGGCTTGTCTAATTAAGTGTCATCTGAATCTTAAGACTGTGTAGTTAGTTGATCTAACTTCCATTAAACATACTAGTGTAGCTTATAATCTAAGTTGCTCGGACTCTCCAAAAATGATGCTGCACCCGTGTCAGATCCTTCAAAAATACACTATTTTTGGAGGATTCGACATCCGACATGCACCCGTCGACATTTTTGGAAGAGTCTGAGCAACATAAAGCTTATTGATAGCCATGTTTTTCTACAAGGAGATCGCATCAAGCGTTATGATTACACTATTGCATTTGCTTGATCACTGTGTATTGTCTGTTCTTCTATTGCTTTTAGAGTCGGATTGTTGGTATGTGTAGGGCAATGACAATGTCATCTGGTTTTCGAGTTGAACATATGGAATTTGAGTTATAATTGACATGTTTTTTTTTGCTTACTTGTTCTAATATATGCAGTTACCATGACAATGCATTTACTACATCGCGTGCGTTGCACATTGTCAATAAGTTGAATTCTTCTGCCACATTCAGATTACTAGAGGCTTTCTTTGATCAACAGGTAACAAGTTTTTTTGGGATACAATCTACAAAAGCATAATATATAAACAGTTCGAGCACTCCAACTTTGAGAGTGCACATCTAGATACCTCAATTTGGTCTCAACTAGTAACTAAACACTCCAACTCGTCTCCGTTGTGTCTTGTGGACACCCGACGCTGACGTGACACATAGATTTTGGAAGTGTCGTGATGATTATGTTGTAAGTTGGAGTGTTCAACTGATACAATGGAGACGAGTTAGGTGTCTAGATGAGCAAACTTAAAGTTGGAGTGTTTACTTGTCACCTAAGGTCAAGTTGAGTGTCTGTTTATGTATTATGCCATCTGCAAATGTCATAAATGATTGAATTTTTTTTACGAAACTTTAAAAACATTACTACAAGGTAACCTTAAGATTATGGTGTGATGGATATTCATTTTTTTTTAAAGCAACTCCAACAATCTGTTTTATTCATAGTTATCTCATATTATGGGGTGAGATAATTGTTCTCTGTTTCTTTAGTGACAACTATTTACCTGTTTTCCAGAATCTTCCTAAGGCTATGTTGCTCAAACTCTTCAAAAATGTCAACGGGTGCGTGTCGGATACTCCAAAAGTAGTGAATTTTGGAGAATCCAACACTGGTGCTGCAACCATTTTGGAGAGTCCGAGCAACATAGGCCTAAGGTGCCCCCTTTGGGGCTTAGTGTGACTTGTGAGTCACTTCAGTCGAGCAAGAACTGGACCATGATACAATTAACTGCACGTATAGTCTTTATAAGAATATAGTAAACACTTCATCAAATATGAAATTGCTACGATTATTTATCATTCCTGTAAAAACTGTAACTGTGGAAAAGCATGAATTAGTTGAATTCACAAACTACAGAGTAGTGCTTACCATATTGTACGCGAAAAACATTCCTCTGTTACAAACTATGGTACTAGACATATTTATATACTTTTGGTTATAATTATGCTTGATTGAACAGGACAAGTTTTATAACCAAGCAACGTTCAACTTGTCCAAAGCGTCTGTTGTGGATGAAGTCGCAAAATTTACATCCAATAAAATTGGGAATTCGAATTACGCTGCTGTAAAGGCTGGATTTACTGACCCCAAAACTGATCAAGCAACAAGAATTTCCTTCAAGGTATGCTAATTAGGCTCAATTACCCTATCTATTACATATCTTTCACCGATACCGAAACTTACATTTGTGTGTATGTATATTTTTTCACAGTATGGTTGTGTGAAAGGCGTATATGGGGCACCTTTTTTCTTCGTAAACGGGTTTCCTTTACCTGATGGTGGCTCACCATTGGACTACAAAACATGGAGAGATGTCATTGATCCATTGATTTCACCTGAAGAACAATTAAGAGCTGAAAATTTGAATTTCTTCTTGTGAAAATCTGATCTTTTAGTCTCCAATTGTATCTGTACTCTTTATAACCTAATGTCCTGAGAGCTAGAGAGACAAATTAAACTCAATAGTTCTTATGTTTAGACATATATAATGAAAGTTTATTACTTTTATATCTTATGGTTTTCCATGAGCGTCTATCAAAAACAGCCTCTCTATCGCTAAGGAGGGGGTAAGGGTCTGTATACACTCTACCCTCCCGAGACATGGCTTTGTGAAACTACATTAGTTATGTTATTGTTGTTGTATATCTTATGGTTATAGAAAATGTAAATACTAATTTATTGGTAAAAGTTATTTTCTGTCTAATTATTAATCAAGTACAAATATTATTGAACACCAAATGATTGTGGAGAATGAATAATATTATATACACGGAGACATCGACGATCCTTACATGTTATGTTAGGCAAAAGTTATGAGTTCGAATCCTGCCAAGGTAGAAGCTTGGTACTTAAGTTGGAAGAGGGTAGAAGGGTGGGTCCATATACGTAATCGATACAGTTACCAACATGTATGACAATAGAAGTCGGATAAGAAGCGGGATTTTTCTAAAATAATAAAAGGTAGAAAAAAAGTATTTCTCCAAGAACATTGGAGAAATGTGATCAAGAGATCGCGAGTTCAAGCTGCAAAAACAGTCTCTTGCTGAAATGTAGGGTTAAACTACATACAATAGATCCTTGAGGAAGTCTCGTGCATAGAAAGAGTTTAGTGCATGTTTTTATTTCGATTCGAATTTGAAATACTTCTTATGTGTATTCTCAATTGCCGGTTACGTAGATAAGTCAACTATTAAATTTGGATAGAAAGTGTCCAATAGAAATATTTTATCATGTGTCCATCTATTAAACCCAAAAAAAAGGAAAAGTAAATTTTTGCTTAGACTATGAGAGCTCAAAAGAAAAGAAAAGCTATTTATTGTGTTGAGTGTCTTAAAGAGGGAAATATGGAAGCATCAAATTGAATATCAGGTTGTTAATGTTTCCTCAATCTATGCAGGGGCATATTTAGGGAGTTTCGTGGGTTCACGTGAATTCATGTATTTTTTAGATTATATATAATAATGTTATAATTTTTCTAAAAATATATTTAAATATAGATGTGTGAATCGTTGAAGTGTCATATATATATATAATGCGTTGATTATTGAGTGCACCTTTCTAAACGAGGTTACAAATATAACTCTTATATCTATCTTTTTTTCTTCTTTTAAAATTAACACCTCTCTAGACTCTAAGTGGTTATTCGTATCACGTTTGACATTTTAATTAATATTTTTTTCTTCCTTTTTTTCTGCACCAAATATGTATATTTAAACGAGTAGCACTAAATGACGATACAACATACAATTAATGAATTTAATCAATCTCAAGTTAGACTTATAATTTTAATTTTTTAACGTGTTTAGTGATAAAAACCTAAAAATCAGATCGAACAAATTTATAATTTAGATCCATTTTTTATAATAAAACATTCATCCTTCCGAGATTTTGAATATGTTTTCTATGGTGCAGCTTTAAAGGTGCCTAAAGATACTGGTGGGGCAAATTCTAATTAAGTGGTGACATTACTCATTTTGGAAGATTTATAAATATCAGATCTGGAAATGATAATACTCTCTTCGTTTTAATTTATTTTTCTCAGTTCGATTTGATACAAAATTTAAAAAAGTGGAAAAGATTTTTAAATATTTTATGATTTTAAATTAAAAATATGTAAAATGGGTCAAAATATTATTTAATCTTAAACATGTCATATCATAGAAAGTTAATATAAAATATTATAAAAAAAAGTTTTTTTTTTGAAGACAAACCAATTGAAACATAATTACAAAAGTTGTAACTCAATATTGTTTAACCTTTTGTGCTCAATGCAACTTTGCCTTGTCCATCAATCTCATCACCATGTGATATATGATATTTTTATTAAAATCTAATTAATTTAAATTTGTGTTGTGTAGGACGTCATTTAAAGGAAAACGTTTTTTATTAATGATTTTTCATATTCAAAATTCGAATTCGAGTGCTTCAACGACCGACGTCCTTTAATGATTGTCTCACCACTTCATTTGATGCCTTGTCATTTGGCAATATAATGTCACAACCTTTTTGTAAAAAAAATTTAATTGGGGTAACTAATGCTTTTACTTTCTTCTTTACTTTTTGTTTTTTTTCTAAATAAATTTTGTTCTGTTTGATTATTTTTTTCTCCTAATTTTGAGAAGCATACTTTACATGTTTTAAACACAAAAGGTGAATGGGTCTATGCCTAACGCACCACCACTAGTGGTGGTTCAATAATCACTTTGGTAGCTTTTTTTTATCAGACATAATACAAACGTGTCATTTAATTTGAGTTCAATTGATATATGTGTTCTCTAATTAGTTTTGAGTGTGCACAAGTAGACACTTAAACTTATATAAAGTTGAACTAATAGACACATGAGTGCTCTACGTGACGATTTCAAATCTTATGTAGCATCCTATGTATACTATGTCACGTAGGACATGTGTGTTTACTTGTTCAATTTTATAGATATTTAAGTGTTTACTTGCGCACATCCAAAATTGGAGGACATAAACGTCATTTGAAGTAAAATTAAAGGACACATTTATGTAAATATCATTTGATTATTTCTATTTTGTATGTTTAGTTTTAAATTATATTGTTGTTTTTTTCAAATTGGTTTTCTTTCGCGCTTTACTATTTTATTTTATTTTTTGGATATTTGGTGATTGAAGCTTAAAGATATTATATAATGTTGAAGTTAAAGTTAAAGTTAAAAATATAATAATCGAAAGTTGAAATTATGTTTGTACATGAAAAATGTTTGATAAAAGTTAAAATGTTGTAAGTGAAGATCATATTTATCAATATTGTCGGTTAAACCAGGATTTACATATATTGAAGTTCAACATTTGTTGGGATTTTGATTTTTTATTTTCCATTTATTCTTGCTTTTAATTTAATTATCAAACCTATCAACGGATGAACAAAAATGTTCAACAACTTCAGCAAGGCTCACTTATCTAAATTTTAAATCTTCGTTATTTGTTTTATGTCTTATTTGTGCCTACACTTCAACACAAATCACACTTATCATTATTCTATATTCTATCAAACTCCTATTTTGTAGCTGCTACACAACTACTTATTTACGTAGGAGCTATGATAGCATCCAATTTTTTTTTATTCGACGGTTTGATCTTATGATTTAATTTATCATTAATCATGAACGTTGATAAGATCCATCCATTTAGCTGTACCTTAGAAAGCATAACCTTAAAAGTGAAGGGCGATGTTCAAATGAGGAAAGCCTTAGGGTGGATCCTAGGCACGAGGAAGGGCATAGAATCGACGAAATGCTTCGGGTAGTTGAAAATAAGCATAGTTCCGGAGATTTCTGAATAGGGCAACTTTTCAAACTGCTGCTGAATCCATAGATAGGACAACCTAGATTTCATCCTTAACTAGAAATTTCAAATTTGAATTCTGAAAAGATATTTATTTATTTATTTTAATAAAATGTGTTTTCTCTACATGGTTCCTAACTAGTCAAGCCACTATGTCATGGAAACCAAAAAAATTAAAAAAATCACTCTCAAGAATGAAAAAACAAGAAATTGGAGGCTTGAGTTCTTACTTTAATTTCCAAACTTTTTCCAAAAGGAATAAAAGTTTAACATAGTAAACGATGAAGAGAAGACTTAAAAGAAATTGAACGACCACGAGAAGACTAAAAAGGAAAAAATAAAATACTAAAAAAATAAGAAAAGTTAAAGATAGAAAACAAAAGCAAGCTAATTAACCACTAATAATTTTTTTATTTTTTATCTTTTTAAAAAAAATAAAATTGTGGCAAATACATGGTAATTGACATTTTGCTTCCATACGAGCTTTTAAACTGATAGATTAATGCATATAATTAAGTATGTATATAATGACGGGTTTTTGTAAGATTAAATAATTTTAAAAATATTTTTAAGTAACTTTTCTTAAAAAGAGTAATTAATTTGTAATGAAAATAAACGAAAGGCTAATATATAGATGTTTTTTTGGATTAAGAATCGGGCATGTTGGATTTTGACCCACTTTTCTATTCATTTCAAGCCTGAATAATTTTTGAACGAGTTATTAATCCGCTCATTTAACTCAATTCTTTTTTACCTATCCAAATTCAATTTGATCCCTCTATTTACTACTTTTTTTTATTTTATTGAAAAATGTAGCGATTATTTAAAGAACTATATAATTAAAGGTGGCCGCAAAACTAGCAGCAAAGCTACTAGAAAGACATAAGCCAAAAATTAATACTTATTAATTAACAATTAACAAAAAAAAAGAGATATCAGAAGAAGAAAAGTAGATTAAATGAATTTGAACACAAGAAAATGGAACACAATTAACATAATCTATCTCTATTTATAATTAGTGTGAGGATAAAGATCAAACCTAAGTCCTAATCAAGAGATTCAACCTAATATATTCAAGAAATAATATAAATTGATCGCAATTTATAGGGAAAAAGGTTTGAAATATGTCCAAACTTTGACCGAAATTGTTGTAACAATATCGAACTTTGAAAAGGACCTTTTACCTCCTGCACTATTTAATAATGTATTTTAAAGGTATATATGTGCCTACGTGGACATCATAAAAATTGCATAATTATAAATAGTAACGTGTCTTCCATATAGTTTGGTATCGTAACAATTTAAAAGGTCCTTCACGTGGAGTATTTTTCAAACCCTTTTCCCCAATTTGTATGATACGTATGCTTTTTTAACAATTATTTAATAATACTATCTATATTTTATCATGTTAATTAAATTTCACTTAATTATTTAACAAAAAATCGATAAAAAATTTATAAAGTGAAAGTATATATAACTCAAAAAGAATACCGCCACTTAATTAAATAAAGAAAGTAACATCAGTGTATGTTTAACTTTAATAGTTATTTATCTCATAATTAAAGAGTTTTAACAACTTTAATTAGTTATTATTTGATCATTTGTGATTCAAAGGCATTAAATTAATTATGGAGTGTGAAGCACGACACCACTCATAATTAGTCATTCTTTAAAAAGAGTGCGAATTTAATATAAAT